GTATCCTTTTTTCTGCCAAACATTCGAATCCTCAAGTTGCATTTGGTGGTGTAAGCATTATCTTCTTTGGTGGTTACTTACAATATCGATTTTTCATTACCATCCAAAAAGAAACCAAGTAAACTGCCCACAGAAAAAGAAATTCAACAACGTGTTGCACGTTCTCTAATTCGTCGAATTAAGTGTGTGGTAAAACTTACTCAACAGATGCGAACAGAAGATCTACGGTACCTTCAACTACTTGAGCGTCTTCGTCATGGACAATGTAATTATGACGACTATGAATTATTGCTGACACGGGTGGCCGGACAATCATCAGTAGGCTCTCTACGTGATTCACCGTGGAACAAAGTAAATTTTCTTTTCCCTTTGATACAAACTTGTATATTCGTCTCATTTAGGCTACGATCCTCGTGTTCCGAAATGAAGTACGAACACAATTCAACAACAAGGCAGCAATTCACAATGCTGCTCAATTAGGCCAAGTCCCGATTGTATGTGTGGCTCCAGATACTTGTAATGGCAAATCAATTGAAGATCCTATACTTATAAAAAAATTATTGCACTTATCCGATAGCAAGACAGAGCATTTACCTGGTTTATTGCCTTTTGTTCCTGGAATGCCTGTTATTTTAACGCAAAACATTGCTATTGTACTTGGTCTTATTAATTGTATTAATGGAATCTTTGGACAATTGGTTTACCAGGCAGATTCTGTATCAACAGATGTTTTATCAGAAATATTTCCAAAAAATACACAATACATTCATCGACCGTTATATGCTTTAATAGAAATTACTAAATCAAAAACTGAAACCAATCTTGAAGAACTTCAACCAAAACTTGTTCCAATACCAATAACGGAACAAACATTTCGAGTAGATATTTCTGATATTCTTCCGAAAGACAAGAAACTGAAATCAAATCAAAAAGCAATTTTATCGGTTAAACGTCGAACACTACCGCTGGTGCCTGCTTATTGCATTACAACACACAAGAGTCAAGGCCAAACTTTAAATAAAGTCGTGATCGATCTTAAACTGCCAAATGAAGTTGAAGATATTGCCGCAGTTTATGTAGCATTATCTCGTGTAAAACGTTTAGTTGATCTAATTATTTTACGGCAATTTGATTACAAGGTTTTACTAATTAAACCAAGTATATCCCAAGTCATCGAAATGGAAAGATTGGATCAACTGTATTTAGAAACACAAAAAACGTTTTTCTCAGTGGTTTTAATGATTTTTTTTATTGCATGAAAATTCTTGTTATTCATATCTATTATTTCTCTAAATACTTTTCCTACGTGTTTGTCCTGTATTATATACATTTGAACATTGTTTTCTTTTATATTAATGATTAGTGTTGTTTTTCTTTGCTTTGATTGTAGTTCGATGTTATATTTACTAGATATAGGTGTCTCTTTGTTTGTTTGTTGTAGTTGCAAATAAAAATTAAATATATTTCTGTCGTTTAATTGCTTACAGAACTTTTAATATCAATAATCTCGATTATTAAATAGTGCATAATTTTGATGGAGAAGATACTCATAAAAAGTTCAGTGATGAGTACTATCAGACTCGCTCATTTCATATAAGATACATAAATATTCTGATTGATCTGCATGGTTGATATATTAATCCTACATATAAGTAGCAACCAGCAATTGAAAGCAAAATATCTTATATTATTGTCACTGACTGATATAGACTACTATTCATGCCGCGAAAAGATGTTAATAATATGACGCAGATGATTGTACTTATTATTTATTTTTCTTGATGAATTTTCATCAAAAGATTAATCTTTGCTCATAGCATTAACCATGAAATAAGTAAATACATTTTTCTAACTGTTGTGCTGCATAAAAAAGAATTCCACGGTACTATTTTTGAAAACGCTTCACTCTGTAAACAGTCAAGAAAATAGCGATTTTAATACCGAGAATAATTAAAATTCCAAATTAACTATACTGTTACAGATTAAGATCATAGTATTATAACACGTATACTCAGTTACATCTGATGTTACTTACCATCAGTTATCTTAGAGAAAAAATAAAATAAAATAATGTGTAAATAATTTTTATTATTCAGTCGAGGGCAAAGCGAGTCGAAGCGACGAGTGTTACTTGTCAGATAATTCAGTCAAAATTTCGCTAAACGTATTGTTTGAAGCAACTTAAGACATTATATTGTCTCGTTAAAACAAACAGAAGAAATGAAGGAACTCATCATAATGCAAAACAAATATATACGAATAGAAAAAAACGAACTAAAATGATGAATATAAAAGGTTTTTATTACACTGAATTTTAATAAACAGAAAGCAAAAATGTGTCGTCTACATTATAGATAAGATAGCAGAAATTTGTAGCAATATTCGATAACATTACACATCATTGGAAAAACGTTTTTGGTCATATGTACGACAACTGTGTAAATATACTTTTGAGCTCTTGGTCAGAATCTTAGAACAAATTTTTACGCTGAGATTTTTATATTGATTATCGAAGTACAACAATATGTATTAATAAAGTATCAAATTTATGAATCGACAACATCGAGAGGAATAACATATATCTGATCTAAGAATGACAATCTGTAGTGTATTATTCTCTGATACTAGACGTTTATAAAGTGTTAAAATAAAAGTTGACAAATTTTGAACAATAATAAGATTGATAGAAACTACCAGATTCTCAGATTGATTGTCTTTCTATAAATTCGTTCTTCAGAACATTTAAGATCGATAAGAACAAAAGAAAATATTTATTAAAACTCAAACATATTAAAATAAAGAAGCAAAACTAATAAATTAAAAAAAAAGATAATTTGACCATCTTAAGGTAAATAACATAAAATATCTTTGTCATTTGAATCTCGTTCAAGATAATCTTGTTCAATTAATATATCGATACATTTCTAAAACAAAAATATTTGATTTTATTAAAAATAAATATTTGATTTACCTTAATAAGATGAATATTTGGTTTGAAACGTGAACTTAATTTTTGAATAACTTATTGCACTAATAATTCATGTTTTAATGTTTTTTGAGTTTTCATTATTCGAATAATTGCTGCTTGAATGGTCATTTTACGTTCTTCATCGATTGTTTTCTTTATATAATTATTATCTTGAGGTTTGTTTAACTTTACTGATACATTTGAATCTATTTTTGTGTTTTTACTAAAAGCAAAAAAATAAATAAAGTTTTTATTGTAAATGAAATAAATAAAATATTTACTTTTTAAAATTTTCATTTAATTTGTTATAATAATTTGATTGAATATCACTTTCTTTCAATTCTTTATCAAGTTCATCAATATTAATTTCTTTACATATTATTAATTTGTTCCCTCGACTGAAGGGAGGGTCATACAAAAAAAATGCGTTTGCTTGTTTGTCACAGGGTCAAAGGCCAAAGGTCAAAAAAACATTCACAGAGACCAGATCAAAGATGATAAAGCGTTAAACCCCGGGGTCAAAAGAACACGGTCTTCGTTTGACCCAGGGGTAAGAAAATATGGCCTTAGATTGACCAGACATCGATGATTGATTGTAGGCGGTGTTCAGTGGATGACACGAAAGAGGTTTATCATGAAACTAATGAGTTCAACTATTCTATAAATAAGTAACGCTCGTCGCTGCGACTCGCTTAACCCTCCACTGAATATAGTCTACTCCTTATCTATCGCTTCTCATGAAATTATATATTCAGAACTATCACTTAACGAACACATGTATACAAAAAACTTATACATTATTCTTACAGACGATCGTCGTGTAAAAAAAAAGACCAACTCTTTGAATAGCGTATAGATTTTAGAATACGTGTGTTTGTTTGACGATAATTATCAATACAGAATTCGATGAGAAACGATGGATAATGAGTAGACTATATTCAGTCGAGGGTTAAGCGAGTTGCAGCGACGAGCATTACTTGTTTTTTAATAAAGTACAGAACTCAAAATTTTCAGAACCTATGGGTACCCTCATATAATAACCTTTGAGGATCTATGAGTACCCCTATGTAATAAAACTCTAGGACCTAAGGTTACCTCCAAAATATAGGACTTGAGAGTCTAAGAGTATCTCTATAATATAGGGCTTAAGGACCTATGAATATTCCTATATAATAGGACTTGAGGTCCTAAGGGTACCTACAAAATATAAGACCTGAGGATCTATGAGTACCTCTATATCATAGGACTTGAGAACCGAAAGATACAGTGAGCGGAACATTGGTATCGGCGATCCATACAATCCGTACGATTGCGCGATCCGACAGTTCGCTTATTCCCCTTGAATGCAGGTAAAAGGGTATAGTTGTAAGGACATAGATATAAGGTTATAGTTATAAGGGTATAGATGTAAGGTTATAGGTATAAGGGTATAGGTGTAAGAGAAAAACTTTTTAAATAATGTGACACCTGATATGTAGAACAGAACCATTTTTTGGCGATAAATCAGAAATGGTTCCGTTCGTTTTCTACGGAACCCCGTTTCAGGGCAAAACCTTTTTGGGGTTCTGAATTTTACCCAACAGCAGAACCTCCAAAAAGGTTCTGGAAAACTCCTTTTTTTTCTTTCAGAGCTTCTTATTCGCTTTTTCTCACTATATAGTCATTCGTATTGCTTTGTGACATTTGAAAACTTCTATACTGCGTCCATGTCTTGTTATATGAGCACATAATATGCATCATATCTTCTGTTTATTTTAACAAATTTCATTTGAAGATATATTATAAGCGGACAATTTCTGTTTGATAGCGTTTTTTCAACACCACAAATTTTCTGTTGCCTCATCAAGACCAAAACATCTTCGAACTGCCTGATAACGGCTTATTCTGTTGCCTTGTTGAGGTTTTGGTCCACATTCAATATGATTAATTATTTTAGTTGTATCTCCAAAATTGCTTTCTCTTGCTGGTTGACCCATATTATTAGCATTCCAAAACCAAAGTGCAGATGCAGCAGCTAATGCATCGGACTTAGCAATTTCTTCTGGATTTTCCAAAAGATCAACACCGAGTGCTTTACCAGCGGCATTATAATTGCATGGATATGATAACTGAAACCAACCACGACCATAGTAATATTTGCCAGGTTTTGCCTCAAGTGGTGGACACCATGAGGATTGGTAATCATTAATACATCCACCTGATTGACCACAATATTCTTCATATGTTATCAAACCATCTGTTTCATGTGATGCATGAGCAAGAAACATCATCACTTCATTTTGATTTTCTAGTTTAAATGGTGCCACTGATAATGCCTCTTGAAGACCTAAAATACAAATATAAACAAACATTCATAAAAAAAAATAACATTTTTTTTGGATAGATTAACATATTATTTATAATTCGCATGTTTTATCTAGAACAAGAAGTCACTACTAAAAGATATTCTACCAATTTCTGAGATTACTAGGCAACTCTACGGAAATATTATTTTATTTTATTTTGAGCAATTCTGAGAGAAATAAAAAATAAAATTAAGATAAAGATTGATGTCATAGTGATTATCCATCTAAAGTATTCGAAAACATCAAAATTCTCAATATATATTTACCTTGCCAACGTTTGTCACGAACAGATGAACTTAATTGATCAAAAATACAATCGAACCGTTCTCGAGTAAGTGGAGTTTTATTATTGTTGCCTTCAGGTTGGTCATCACAATGTTCTGGTGTATTACCACAACTAAAAGGAAAAAATAAAAATTCCAAAGACTGTGTGGTGATTGGTGAATACAGATAAAATCATAATTCTAAAAGTACTTACAATCCCCATTTTGAACAACAGAGACCTGATGGACACGGTGGTGGACATCGAATAATAGGAGTTGGTGAAGTTGTTGTTGTTTCACTACCTTCACAATGTTCTGGTGTATTACCACAACTAAAAGGAAAAAATAAAAATTCAAAAGACTGTGTGGTGATTGGTGAATACAGATAAAATCATAATTCTAAAAGTACTTACAATCCCCATTTTGAACAACAGAGACCTGATGGACACGGTGGTGGACATCGAATAATAGGAGTTGGTGAAGTTGTTGTTGTTTCACTACCTTCACAATGTTCTGGTGTATTACCACAACTAAAAGGAAAAAATAAAAATTCAAAAGACTGTGTGGTGATTGGTGAATACAGATAAAATCATAATTCTAAAAGTACTTACAATCCCCATTTTGAACAACAGAGACCTGATGGACACGGTGGTGGACATCGAATAATGGCAGTTGTTGTTGTT